GGCCAGAAGTGATGGCAGTATCAATAGATATGCCAATGCAGAAGGGCAGGAATCTCACAGGATCCCACCCCTGGGTAAAGAACAACAGGTATTTAATGAAGCCTGAGAGAAGGATAATTAGCCTCTCCCAGAGATGAGCCCCTTATTGGTTATGCAATACAAAGTGGTCAGCCCTGAAACCATATACATACAAACAATAAAAATGGACTCAACAGATTGTATTTTGATAACTTGGAGGGGGTGCACATATGCATGAGGACATGCATGCATGCAACCATAATAGTCAAAGAAAAAGAGGCTATCAATTTGAGAGCTGGGAGTGCGCTGTGGGATGATGTTCTGTATGCTGTGAATATGTGCTGCTCTGATTGGTTGATAAATAAAATGCTGATTGGCCAGTAGCCAGGCAAGAAGTATAGGCAGGATAAGCAGACAAGGAGAATTCTGGGAAGAGGAAGGGGAGTCAGGAGTCACCACCCAGATACAGAGGAAGCAAGATGACAAGGCAGAACTGAGAAAAAGTACCAAGCCATGTTGCTAAACATAAATAAGAATTATGGATTAAAGTAAGTGTAAGAGCTACTCAGTAATAAGCCTGAGCAAATGGCCAAGCAGTTATAATTAATATAAGACTCTGTGTTTTTACTTGGGGGACATGAGTGGGAGAGATTTGTCCAGACCACCGGCTAGCTGGGACACAGGAAAAATTCCATCTACAGGAGTGGGTCCTGGCAGGGGCTGGATGGAGGAAAGAGAAGGGAGAAAGTGGTACAATCCTATTTTAACCAAAAATGCATTGAAAAATTGAAAAAAATAACAAAACACACAGCTGAAGGAAAGCTGTGGCCATGGGTCCATGCGGAAGCAATGGCTGCTACCAAACCTGCTTGTGACTGTGGTCATCTAAGGACTGACAACATGCCTTTGTTCTCCAGTTTTCACAAATGTGATTCTGTCTGGAGCTCTCCTGACATAGCAGTGCCCCAAAGGTCCCTGAGAACATTTGAAAGACAAGATTATAACCTGAGAAAGACTTCACTGTGACTTCCTCCATGGAGTGAAGATGGACCGTGCATATTCAGCAGACCCACAGAGGACAGAAGACACTGCCTTTGTGCATGTCTACATCAGTGGATATGAAAGAACCTGTGTGAAGTCCCTACAATGGAAATTCTCTTTTGAAGCCATGAAAGCATCACCCCAACCAAGCTAGGTTGAGTCAATCCTGCATGCGTGTGTGAGAAGAATGAGAAGAGCAGTCAATCACAGACTGTGTCCTTCTAGATTCCATCTTCTAGTTGTCAAGACAGCAAATTCAGACATGACTTAATGGTTTATCCTCTTACTCTCCGACAAAGTATTTAAATTTACAGCGACTTCCATAAATGACCAAGACTTCAAAAATAAAAATCAAGGCTTCCAAGTATACTTAAAGATGATACACAGCAGATAATGCTTAAAATAACCATGAGACACTTTAAAAATTAATCCTAGATCCAATTCCTCCAGGAGACCTATGTGATGCCTTGCCTGATAATTCTGTTAAACAATGAGGTAACCAGATCAAGAGGTTACAAGGTTGCAGGACCTTTACATGTACTCTTGAGACTCTGCAACATGCTTCTATACCTACAACATGCACTGTGGATCTATGAGCTGCAGTTTGCCCTAACATTGAATCTGCAAGTGTGAGATAACACTGCACCATTGATAGCATGTAATAGTCAAGCCCTCTAAGGTTATAAGTACAGTATATCTCTAAGAGTTAAAGCTAACAAGCTAATGCTGAGGATAGCCATCTTAGGGCTGGAGATAGAGATCGGTGGTTGCAGACTTGTATCTGATGCATGAAACCCCAGGTGTGATGCCTGGCGCTAGGAAAGAAAAAAGGCACCACCATCCCCTTTCTTGTCCTCACTCTTGAACCCTGATGCTCAAGCCTTACATCCACATCACCTCTCTTGTACAGCTCCATTTTTTTTCAAAGAACAGAGAAGCTACAAAGGAAGACAGGAAGGCAAAGCAAAGACGATTGGGAAAAAACAACTGGCTAATGCAAAAGGACATTCCAGAGCAACAACAACAACAAACGGATTTGTGTAGATGCACAAGTCGATGAGCTCCAGATGTACTGTTACTGTATGCCTCACAGGTGTTTTTCTGCTTAATAAACATAACATCCAAACAGGGAGGCTGCTGGGGCCCTGAATCGCCCCATTTGGGCTATGCTTTTCTGCTGCTCTTGACTATTTTGAGCTATTTTTCAGTCAGGCAGCCACTACTGAAATCCTGGGTGCATAGGCTTGGCAGAGCAAGGAAGAAAAAGTGCAGTCCACAGATTTCTGTCTTCTGCTTCCTCAAGACAGAATCCCATTAAAAATATGCCCTCAAATTATGTTGCCCTGGATCTGCTGGAAAGAGCCATTCTGTTCCTCTTCATAACTCCAAACATAAAGCCTATCTCGTGTGTAGCAGGAAGTCATAAGGCCCAGTCACAACTGAAGCATCAGTCAATCAGAAACTTCAGCTGCCGTTGGATGGAATTTTGGGAGAACAGCTTGGAAAAGCACACAGGACAAGTTTGACTTCATTGCCAAACTCATTTCCAGGACACAGGCTAATCAATTACAAAAGCTTTTTCAAAACAAATTTGAGTCTGGCAACCTGTTTTCCACACTCAGACAGAGGAAAGAAAGAAAGAAGAGAGAGAGAGAAGAAGGGAGGGAGGGAGGGAGGGAGGGAGGGAGG